GTCTCTTCAACTCTATCTGTCTCTCCCTCTCTCTCTCTCTCTCTCTCTCTCTTTGTCACCTTTCTTCGCCGCCTTCTCTCTTTGGACGCCGGGTGAACGACCGACGAAAATGAAAGTGTCTTAACTACGAGAAAACCGTCGTTTATAAACTTACTATTTATCGATGATTCAAACCTTCTTTTCTTTTCGTAATGACTATACACTAAACTCTATTCATAATTCAACCATTCATAACCTCTCTATTCCGTCACGAAGTGACTCAACCCCCTTCTCCTCCCTCTGTCTCTCTCCCCATCATTCTCCCCCCCCCCGATCTCGCCCTATCCAAACGTGCCACGAACGCTATTCGGATTATATAAAATTCACAAACGCGGGATATATCGATTATTCGGTACACCTTGGGCCGCGGGAGTGACGGCGCGAGAGGTCGAATCGATAATCAGGGCACCTCGAGGTGCTTCAGCAGGTGGACTCGTCGAGCCCGAAAACCCGTGTCGCCGCCACTCTCGGGCACCCTAGTCGTCCATATAAAAACACTGATATACAAAACGTTCACTAGATCGACGTGAAACGTCAGCGAACGGCACGACGAGAACGGCTCTCTCGTGTGAGAGCGCGAGAAGGTCATTGTCGCGCGCCTCATCACGCTCGTCGTTAGCTCGGGCATTCGAGTAGCCCGAGGAATTCTCGTTTGATATCGAAGAGGAGGATGCGCGGCTCTCGGGAAGATTTGACACCGAAGAACACGCTGAAGAGCGTGCTTGCTATGAGCTTGTAAAAGTGTTATCGCCGGATACTATCCATGCACTAGATACGACTACTTATCCGGATGCGCTCGTGATTCGTGCTTGCCGAAAACGCGTACAACACTCTGATACACTTTCGGAACTTTCGACTCGCTAATGCCCCCGAGTCACTTTTCTTTCGCGATACGCTCGTGTTGTCATCCGACCCGGCCGGTGTACTCTGATATCTCGAGGTGTGATTTGAAACGTGTGTACCGATGTGAGAGATTGCACGCGATGAAACGCGCACCTCCCTCCCTCTCTCTCTCTCTCTCTCTCTCTCTCTCTCTCTCTCTCTCTCTCTCTCTCTCTCTCTCTCTCTCTCATTCCGCGGCCGCGTCTCCATATTGGCTGACGCGACGATATCTAGCCAGTTTGCGGTTAAAAATATATATCACAGTGCTGTGCTCCATGCGGAGAGCAAGTACACGAGGAGAGCCTCACGAGTGTCAAACTTGCCCGGAAAGCCGCGCCGCCGCCATGTGTGCGTCCCGAGGATTGTCGGGGATCTTCCGGCAAGCCTTCTACGCGCGTATGGCCTTCGCGCAACGAAAGTCCTCTCTCGACCGGAGTCGTTAGAACGCGCCTTACGCGCGCTCGGATCTCCATCGGATCGCGTTCTCTCTCGACGCGAGATAGGCGAGACGTTTCGTTGAGCGAAAGCCACGTGTGTCATCACGGGCCCGTATCTCGTGGCGCGACGTTCCCCGACGTCCGTCGACGAAAATAGCAAAAGTACAAAATCGCTATAGTAATTACCCGAATAAAAAAGGTTAGCCTAATTTAACGTTAGCCTTATCAACTACGGAGCTAAGTGCGCCGTGCGTCGACGCACGATCGATGATAAAAAGACACTTGCTATCCTCTTAGAAATAAGCAGCTTGTCACGGCACCGTCATAGTGAAAAAAGCCTATCCTCCTCCTCCTCTTCCCTCTCCTCCCCTACCTTATTCTTAGCGGCGATTCATCTTGTTAATTATAACAGTGTCTGCCGTAAATTCGTCGCTTCTCTTGTGTGTTCCGAGGATCCTCCGGTACCGGTGTACCGGTACCGGACGATTTCAAAAGAACCCGACCGGGATTCTTCTTCCGTCCGCGCAATCAAATTATGACAGGAGAGAACAAAAAATCAATTAAGGCGCGCGCGCGCGCTCCAACCGCGACTTCGCTCTCTAATCTACGCTCCCGTCTACGTGATCGTTAGCGAAAGCTCTTCGAGTCCTCTTACTCGAGAGAATTCCCCCGCCAATTAACACTCGTCCGCTACGAAACTCGCCGGCTTTGTCAGACAGCCGGAACTTTTAATGAAAACTGGCACACACCCCGGGTTTACACTTACCGCCCCTCCCCCCTCCCTTCGTTTCTTCCGAATGGTATCGCGTTAACGACTCAAGAATCGAGCGAATTTCTCAATTCAAACAAATAATTATATAATTCGTTAGATACATGTATATATAATATATATATATATATATGTATATTTGTACTTTGATGAGCACGAAACTGCAGTTTCCCGGAAAATTTCGAAATTCCCCGTCACGATTGCGCCCGATGAAAGTCACAAAGTGAAACAAAGAGCAATCGTGCGACACAGAGACACAGGCTTGAAAAACTGCGCGCGAAGAGCTTTGCTTCGCTCTCTCTCTCTCTCTCTCTCTCTCTCTCTCTCTCTCTCTCTCTCTTGTGACGCGATCATGTCGAAGTGAGCGAAGCCGCGGCAAATAATCGTGTATAGGTTTCCGAAACACACCGCTAAAAAGCCGTGAGACGTTCCTCGCTGTTCCCGCCTCCTTTGTTCGCGATAGGAACGCTCAGAGGAGCAGCGGACAGTGGCGCGTATCGCTTGACTAACGTGGATTCTTATTAAAAATTGAAAAGTAGGGAGTACACAGGTGACGCGTGCGTCCGAGTCGCGCACGCGTCATAAGTCGAAGGAAAACTTGTCACACGCGCCTCCGATCGCGCAGAGGAACTTGAAAAGTGTCTCGGGGTCGCTGCGCGCGAAATCTCAAAGGGAGTTCCCGAGATCGCCAATGTGTCCCCGTGGTTGATTGATTGATTTACAAAAAGGCCAATCGTAAGCTACAAGTATTACTTGACGCGTCTGCAGAAATCGAAAAGAAAAGTCAAGTTTCCGTGTCAGCTTCATTCAGCAGGAAACGATAAAAAATCACTGCTGGAGCGGAGCTCCAGGACTCTGTCGTTGTTCTAAACTTAAATTCCGTCTCATTTCATCGGCGATCTCGGGGCCGCTGCTTCGACGTCCGTCGTTCAAAGTTTCCGCGGCGCGTCCTGTGAGAAAACACTCTCAAGCGCCCCTTCGATCGAATGGCCGCACTACGCGTTTGATCTGTGGTCAAAGTGGCGAATTGGACAAAGAATGACGAAGGTACAAAGTGCGAATCCAACTTGAAAATGAAGAGAAGCAAAAATAGCACGAAAGATAGAGAATACTTAAAACGCTGCTTGCTTGCTTGCTTGCTTGCTTGCTTGCTTGCTTGCTTGCTTGCTTGGCAATTGCTCATTTGGCACTCTGAGAAAACGTACGGTCGAGACGAAACGATCGGAGAAGGACTCAGAAACGCGATCGTCCTTGCCTCCTGCACTTAAACGCGCGTGAAATTAATTAACACGGGAGTTAAATTGTTCGCGCACGGGAGACGCGTCGCGCGGCTCGTCAAACGTCGTCCGTTGGCCCTTCAAGGACAATTTCTCGCACAGGTCCTTGACAGCGCCGTCTGCTATCAACGCACGCGTTCTCCCATGCGTACGTAATATTCCTTTTTTTTTTATTTTTCTTACTTTTCACTCCCCTGTTTCCTTGTTTCACTCTCCTTCGATTCTTCGGTAAATCGTGAGCGAAACCACGCGACCACTCCGAATCGACGGTTCTCGATGCCGTCGCAATGCAAAAGGAAAATAATCGATGTCTTCCGACAAAACTAGTGTCCTAGAGCCTACTCTCTCTTTCTTTCTCTTTCTCTCTCTCTCTCTCTCTCTCTCTCTCTCTCTCTCTCTCTCTCTCTCTCTTTCTCCTCTCCTCTCCCTCCCTCCCTCTCTCTCTCTCTCTCTCTCTAATAGTAATCGTACGAGCAACTAATAATTAACTAAATAATCGTATGAATCGTGTACGAAAAAAAAAAAAATATTTAGTAGCTTACGGAAATACGACGAGTTTCCGATTAATCTCAAAGTGACGATAGTGACAATGTAGCGTGTGAAATTCAAACGAGGACTGCGCGTAAATGAAACATGAGACTCCCTTTCGGTCTGATCGCGGGCGCGTATAAAGAAAGCTCCCCTACGAGGGGACGAGAGAACGAAGTGGCCGCGCAGCCTCGCTGGCATGCGCTTCGCACACGGGGTACTATGTTATCTCCTAAATATACTTCCCGGCGTAATGTGGATTAAGTATACATTTCTTTTTTTCACCCCTTTAAATCGAAGTAACGTAAGAAAGGTACACGATCGACTACACTATCTTGAGAACGGTGGGCGGTCTGTTTGTGGGACGGCCGCTATTGGTGGACAGCAACGACCAGCATCGCCAGAAAAAAAGCAAGTTCTCTTCCTCTCCAAACACTTACCTCTCTCCCACTTAATTATGTTATATACACTGGCTACTTCGGGCGATCACGACTTTCCGCTAAAAGGGGGGGGGGTGGGAGCCCCGGCACGGTTGTCGGAGGCTCTCGATCGAGCGACGGGGGCGAACCACCAAAAACGCCGGACGAGAGTCGTTCGTTCGTTCGTTCGTTCTCGTCCAGATGGAAAAATGTCGCGTGTGTTGTGCACACGCGACGACGACAGAGCACGGCCAGGGGGGTCTCTCTCTTCTGTCGATACAACTGGTTCTTTCTCCTGACAAAATTAGTCTCGCTTTTGCACGACTTTGGACGACGCGACGAATTTCGCGTCGCGCTCGCCCCGTTGATAACGCGCGCGCCCGCGCCGGGTGGCGGAAAGTCGCGGCACGCCCGACCGAATCAACGTTGAAACCCATCGAATGAGTCGTAGATCCTTAAACAAAATCAACATGGCCGCCATAAACGTATAAACTAATAAAATGTAAAAAAACAACGTTCTCGATTATCTAAGTAACAAACGATAGTTATCTCTTCTTCTTCTTCTTCTTCTTCTTCTTCTTCTTCTTCTTCTTCCTCCTCCTCCTCCTCCTCCTCCTCCTCCTCCTCCTCCTCCTCCTCCTCCTCCTTCTCCTCTTCTTCTTTTCTTTTTTCTTTCCCCCCTCTCATCCCTTCCTAGAGAGTAGCCTTTTTGTTTTGTTTTTTTCTTTATACACGTTTCGCGATAAAAGGAGTCGACCTTGTTTCCGCGTCTAATATTGTTCATCTCTTTCCGCCTAAATTTTATTTTTTGCATTTAATATTTTTTTTCTTTTCGTTAAATAATTCAACTATGTGCGAAACGGGAGACGGCGAAGTTGCCAAGAGCTTATCGTCACTCGAAATTTCTCGGAGTCGCCTGCGATTAATCAGAGCCCGCATAGCCAAATTACGCGATAACAGCGTGGATCTCGACGAAAAAATTTCGCTAATTACAAACCTACGGTATATATATTACGGAAACGCGTTCGTAAGGACGATCGTCAATGAATCGCGTGCACTAAGGGAACGACGTTAATTTGTAGAAAGGGAATAAACATATACGTACGATCTTACTTACACGTCTCAACGTATCGCGCACGGATAAATGCCTAGATAAAGCGCAACGTACAAAGGAAAATAAGAAAAGAGATACACTAGAGAGAGGATACATGTGCCAGTCTCTCGTTGCGCACGTATCGAACGAAAAAGTCGGCGAGCGCCGATTCGACGTCTCCCGTTTGAAATCAACCTAGACAAACCTATATAATTGATATTAAAAAGAAATATCTTAGACTTTATTAGCGCTACGGAAAAACGCGCCTAGGGGCGGCGTCCACGCGCGTATCGCCGTCGTCGTCGCCGTCGTCGTCGTCGTCGTCGTCGTCGCGTGGAAAACAAAAAAAGAAAAAGGCACGGCCGAGAAACTCTAAAATATTCGACAACGCGGCAACAGTTGCCGCGAGTCCGCGAAGAAATCTGTCGAAATGTTTGACGAAAAGAAGAAACGATCGGTGGTGGTGCCCCGGGAGGCAGCCGCGAAACGAAAGCGAGACGACGAGCCGCGAAGGAACGACGACGAGAGTGGAACGACGATGCGCGCGCGCGCGCTCGCTCGCTCGCTCGCGTCGGTGAGGATCACGTCGGTGGTGCCCCCGCGTGGTTTCGCGTTCGCCGTCGCCGTCGCCGTCGCCGCCTGCTACGAAGTCAAAGAAGAGGATTCTACATGGTCGTCCGGAACAGGGAGATCGGTTTGTAGAAGAGGGGACACAGGTCGGCCGCGGTGCGCAAACGGCGGCGGTTCGCTAAGTTCTCTAATGGTTACGGCCACTGGCTGTAGAGTTGGAACTGCTCGCGGGTGAAGCAGGTCGACAGCGGCTTCACGAAGTGTGCGTCGACCGCCCTGCAGTGCGGGCAGGCGAAGACGCGGCTGTAGTCCGAGTAGAAGTTGAGTCGCTGGTGCGGGTAGATCAGGGGTTTCTGGCAGCTATTACACTGGAACGTAAACGGAAACGCCGGCGCGTTCATTTTCATGTCACCGTAGGGTGCCTCCGTCGACGGAGGTATGTGTCCTCGGAAGCGGACGGTTTCAACGAAACGCTTGACGAAACTGTGGGCAGGTTGTTCCAACTCCTCGCTAAGTTAACCGATAGTTGAATCACATGTCTGTCTTTGGCTAAATTAAAGGAAAAACAAAGACAAACGTGTGTGTGATTTGACGCGCTAAAGATTTACCCTTACTTACCTTACTTACCCCCCGCCGACCTTGACCTTGACATATTTTATTGAGGACACCTTCCTGAGTATCAATCGCAAGGTTTTAGCCGTCGCTCGTTGTTTATTAAAAGATAATTAACAAAAGAAATTTCATAAATAGAATGTGATTTTCTGACACGGTTTAAGGAATGAGCTATGACATGCTGCTATACATGTCCTATACATGATAGCGCGACAGTCATGACAGTAGCACGATGAATATATTCATCGTACCACTGACCTTCAACTTCATCTGTTCTTTTCACAAAAAATTTTTTTGATAATTATGCAGAAATAGGGATCACCTGTCGATGTCAATAATTTTCACATACGTTATCGAGGTTCTGTAATATTGTTCTGTAATGAGTAACGTTCTGAAAGTTTTAACCCGCGCTCATTGTTTATAACAAAGTTATGGACAAATGAAGTTTCATAAATTTTTCCATACACAGTGTACAGAGATGTAGGAAACAGTACATATAAGCGGGGGAGGGGCGAATAAATCCTAACCTAACCTAACCTATTGCGTCCTTGTATGAAAAGATTTCCTTAAAACCTACAACACCCAATTGTATGCAGATATAATAAGTTAAATTGGGTTAGATGACAGATCTTAAGAGAACTTGTTCAACAATGTCCAAATTCAACAATGTCCCGCTTATATGTACCGTTTAACACTGTTTAATGTCTATACTGTACACAGTGTCGGAAAATTACATCCTATTTATGAAATTTCTTTTGTTAATTATTTTTTAATAAACAATGAGCGAGACGGCTAAAACCTTTTTTGATTGATACTCAGGAAGGTGCCCTTGATAAAATATGTCAAGGTCAAGGTCATCGGCGGGCGGGTAAGTAAGGGTAAATCTTTACCGATTCAACAGTCACTTGACTTAGCGAGAAATTGAAACGACCGAGCCCTGTGACGTGTACAACGCGAGCTTGTCGAATCGAGGCAACGCGGAGGAGGCTAACCGCGCGAGGTATATACAGAAAAGAAAGTCTGGTCTCTTTGAACGGGCAAAAGTGCCTGGACACGTTCGTGAGAGATGACGGCGCGGAGGGAGAATTCCTCCTACGTACATACGAGAGCGGCCGGTATTTACAACAGCGTGTCGAAAAGGGCCGGGGGATTCGCTCTCGCGCTCGCGCTCGAGCGAGTCGAGGTCGGCCGGTCACGGATTCGGGACTTACCTTGAGTCGCTCGCTGCAGCAAGGCATCGCAGCAAAAATATCGTAGCTGTACATAGTACCGAGGACCAAGCTCGATCCATCCCACGGTTGGGTGCAGCAACGACAACGTACCGGCTGCCCGCCGCTGCCCTCCAAGCAACTCATGCATACGGCTGACAAAAATTGCGTGCGACCTTCGACCTTCACCTGGAACGAAACACCGAGCCGGATGTGCTATCGGTAACGTAACACGCGCGCGCGCGCGCGCGCGCGGTGAAGAACGGAGCCGCCGCCGGTCGATCACAGCGCGCGATTCGAGACGCGACTTCACGTCGTGAGAGTGCCGATCGGACGCGGCTCGAGTCTGACGACGCGGTGCGATCCACGAGAAAGAGATGAGAATCCGTACCTCGGCGCAAGCGGGCGAGTGTTGTCTGGGTGACAAGAAGAACGTGCCGTCCACCAACGGGTACCTGTCGAAAACTAGCATGGCGGCGCGGCAGAGGACGCACGTGACTCTGGACCACTGCAGCGCGGCCAATGTCGACAGGATGAAGCATCTGGTGTCGTCGTTGCCGTGGTTGCCCTCGTCTTCCATCTGGAAAAAATCACGAAGCAATTTTTCATATGCTCGCTTACACGCGACACAATGCGCACAAACAACGTCGCTTCGTTCTCAAGTAACACAAGACGCGGTGGTGGTGGTGGTCTTCAAACGCATCCTCGCGTCAAGGCCCAAAGACAACCCTCTCCCCCTCGCGACTTGATCGCGGTAGAATCATTCCTCGCGAGCGGACAAAAACTACGTCTACGTGACGTATGCATAACTCATGTCGATTCTCGACAAATGGCGAGAGACGCCGCGAGTCGGACGGCTCCGCGCGCTGCTCTTCTGGAGGGATAAAAAACATCAACGAGACGTATCGCGCTGGCGGAGCAGAAGACTCGGCGGCGGCGATACTTGGGGCGGGAATGATATAACCGGTGAACAACGTCCCTGTCCCCTCGCTGGGTCTCGCTCGTTTCCGGCCTGCTTACGCGAGACGCGCGCGCGCGCGCGGGTAACGCCTCATTTGAACGCGGGATTCCCCATCTGGCGTGAAGTAATAACGTCGCGACGTCAACAAAGCTCGCCCTCCTCCGTGGCCCGCCTTGATCGTTAAAGTCCCGGTTCCGCGGCCGGCTTGCGAGAGAGCGAGAGCGCGAGAGCGCGAGAGAGAGAGAGAGAGAGAGAGACGTGGCGAGGCTGGAAAATCCGAGGAATGCAACGGCGCTGGTCTCGACGCCGCGTATAAAGGTTTTCACAAGGGGAGGAAGGACACGCTTCGCCTGGATCGAGATACTAAGGGGCCCAAGACGGAGCTCGAAGTCGAAGTAGAAGCCCGAAAGGAAGTTTCGGAGAGCGCAAGTTTTGAAGGTTCCCTCATGAGCGACGAAGGAAGAAGGGCCAACAGAGGCGGAACGAGGCGCTTCCGAAAGGTGCGCGGCGGCGCGCGGAGCCTCGAGAAAGTCTCCGCTCAAGTTGAAGGCGGAAGCCGGACGGACAGACGTGGCGAAGCGAGCCGTCTTGATAACGAGCCGCCAACGAGGGGCGAAAACGGCGGAAAACGCGCGAGAAAGCCGGGCGGCGTCGTCGGTGCCGGACTGCGATGCAGAGGAGAGCTGCAATGGAGAAGAGAATTGAAAGACGCCGGGAAGAGCGTCGAAGAGGGCCACGGGAATGAGAGGACACGCCGCAAAGGAAAGCGGCGACGGCCGACTCTCTGCGCCGCGCATTGTCGGAGAAAAACGACCGTTTATAACCACCGTAAATAACCGGCCCTTCCGTCGTCCCGTAGCGTCGCGTCGCAAAACGGCGAAAGGAAACGGAGTGAGAGAGGCGAGAGAGAGGGAGAGAGAGAGAGAGAGAGAGAGAGACGACGAGAGGTGCTCCACGGAAACGGAAAGACGGCGAGAAGGATCTTGAATCCGGACGCAATATACGTCATTTTAATTAGCGAATCGCTCTCGCGCGCGATCGTTGAGAAACGCGAGCACTTTCGGCGAGACTTTCTACTTGGTTTCTTCGGCGTTAAAGCCGGCCGCGCGCCTGTCAAAGGTCGAGATGAATTTCTCGCGTCTCACCGCGAGAGACATTGATTTCGTTTCCAATGCCAAAGTCCTCGACAGTGTTCGTCAATACGTGACGTCCGCCGAGCGCGGCTCGAGAGATTCCTCAAACATGAAAGTATGTTTCCAGACTGTCGAGAGAGGTATTGTGGAGTACCTGGGGCGGCCGCTCGAGAGGGACACAAGCGCGCACGCAGAGGAGATACGTACGTATATATGAGGGAACGGGCGAAAGACAGGCGAGGAGACGGAAGAGAAAAAGAAGAAAAATGGCGAGACTAGCCGGACTAACGCGCGCGAACGAAGACTCGAGAGGCGAAGCGAGAGTCCTTGACGCATCCGCGGATGCTCGAGAGAGCCGATCACGGATCACGTACATCCATCTCTCGGCCGCGCCGTGAGGACCCGACGCCGATGTCGAAGATATAAATTCAATTCGCTCGCGCACGTACGCCGCCGCGCGATCGGCCTGGACTTTTTACGGCTCCGATTAAAGGGCGCAACGGCCTTGCCTCGCACACAATGCGACACACAACAATACGACACACTTCCTGTCATTTTATCGCGTAAGCCCGTAAGCCCCGCGAGACCGCGAGGCACCTCTGCAGGAATAAGAAACCGCCACGAGAGCGCGCCTGCGGAGATCCTGGCGCTTGTTCGAGCGCGAACACGCCGCATGGACGTATCCTTCGACCGGAGAGATAATTCATTACGTAACGAGCGAGCGAAGGCGATGCGAATGCGAAAACACGCGGCCGGTTAGTCACGCGCTCGGTAATCACCGATAAGTAATTATTGCGGCGCAATAATCGCGACTGTGTTTCGCGTTCGTGTTGAAACGCGTGCGTGTGGATCTCGAGTTGGCCTTCCGAGAGCTCTAATCAAGCTCGCCGCAGCGAGTTCTCTCGACCCATCGTCTGTGCAGTCTGCCGCAGTTTTAATACGTTTCTCGGCATTCAAAGTTTCGAAAGGTTACCTCACGCGGGGAGGGTTCAATGAGCACGGCAACAACAACGACGAGAAAGGTTCAGCGGAACCCTGACAATTCCGACGGGCCTGTCTGAAAATCGAGGGAAAGGAAGAGTGCTGCAAAACGACGGGAATGGATCCGCACATCGTGGTGTACCGTGAAGGGGACCTGCGCCGCGGCGGCGTCGCGGATTATCGGAATTCAATAATGTGGGACGATACAAATAAATGGAAAAATCTACTTCAACGCGGCAGCGCCGTGCAAAATAATAAAGAACGGATGTTAGTGAGAGTGGCGAGGGCGCGGGAAGTTTGACGCCATATCTCTCCTCTTACGTCTCGGCCGAATTTTTCATCGGCTGCGACGGAGCGGGGGCTTGTTCGATTAGAGCAAATTAAATTAAAGTCGGAGATGGCTTGAATTCGGAGTGGGAGAAAGTCCCAGCAGCTGCTTTGCGCGCGACGGGAATTTACAAAAGCGAAAGCAAAGCTTGGAGTACAGCGTAGAAAATGTTGCGCGTTATTTTTCCCCCGTCGAAATTTTCCTTTCACCTTGACTCGATAAATTCCATCAAACTTGAAGTTCACGGATGAGACAAATGATGCACTCGATGCTAGCAAATATACATTTATATAGCATATCGAGAACAATAGAATCCATTATCGCAGAATATCTCATCTTCAGATTCCGCGCTCTGATACTTTGAGTTTGGCAGAATTTACCGGCGTTACCAGCGTGAAAGAGAGCACACCAGAGGGGACGGAAAGAATCGGCGAGAGATATTTTATCGATTCGACACTCGTGAACTAAATTAGAAGCTGGAAACAATTCCGATCGACCGGGGAGATTGCGAATTCAACCTCTACCTCTCCGAAGGTAAGAGGGAGAGAGAAGACGGAAGGAGACGGTATTCGGTGCTAAAACCGCTTGACTTCATTTTATGTACATTGTGCCGAGGAGACGACGATCTCTTCTGGGAGACAGAGGGAGTAAGAAAAAAAAAAAAAAAAGAGAGAAAGGGGGAAAGGGAGAAGGGGCATAGGGGATGCAGAAAGAAAGGTACCGCTGGGGATTTTTTAGGACTCCTAAGGACGCCCTTATTTAGAGCCTTAACATCAGCGCGGACTCGGCCATAGGACCGGGAACGATAAAAGACGGTATATAGACGAGCGTAAAATTCGTTACGATCGAACTTCGCCTACTTCCGCTTCCATCTTGAAGCAGAAAGAGAAGTAATTACTTACGAGAGAAGCGAGAAAAGACACGCGCGCGCACGACAGAAGGAGAGAGGCACTCTCTTCCGTGTGATTCCATCTTACTTTACGACAGTGTAGATTTAACTTTAATGCAAAGAGCAATCCCCAAATGATTTTCCGACGGATCTACCATGATACACGACAGAATATCCTCCGAAAGGAGGGGGGAGGGGAAAGAAAGAAATGCGATTGCAAGCGGGACGGTAACGAGCGCGACTTAACTGCGCCGCGACGTTGTTGTCGAAAATTTCGTTGTCTGCGAAAACGTTACCTCTTCCGGCGTTAAAAAAAGTCGTCGAATTACTTTGACGTTTCGCGACGAGAGTCGCGCAACTTCACAAGGCGAGAGAGCCTTCCCTCCCTGCTCTCGCGGAAAACTTCATCCGGCCAGCACGGACGATCGAGGCGCTCGCGAAAGCCACGTAGCGACGTCGTAAATTCGACGTTGGAGGAGTGGCTGCGCTCGTTGCAGCCGCAGTTAACGCGAATACGAGTCTACGAGAGACGAGCACTCTCACTTTCTTTAAAAGCGCCTTTAAAAGCGGACTTTGGACAACCGGCCGGGCCGGCCGGCCGGCGGTCTACGAGGCGCATTTACGAGCCAGGCGAGATGGCGGCCAGGCGAGGGGAGGGAAGCGCCAGGGGAGTCTGTTTTCCGCAGTCCTTGTTTTCAAATCCGCGTCCCGAAATCTCGCGAGAGAGAATCCGCAAACGACAGCACAGCGCGCGCGGTGCTCTGGGTGGTTTTCGTCGCGCGAAATTAGCAGCGCCGCCGTAACTCCCGGACCGAGATGACAAAAGTTGATCCAGAGGCTGAGCAAAGTTAAATGGAAAATAGGAAGTCAGGGATCGGGGACAAAGGGATTACTTAGCGGGACTGTTCATGTATTACATGGCGGAACAAAGGACATCGCGAAGGACTCCCCGACGACGTGGAAGGGTGCGGGCGACGGCGGCGGCGGCTCGTAGCGATAACAACTTTTCGCTGAAAGTTTCTCTCGTTCCGTTCTCTTCTTTCCGTTCCCTCAACGAGGGCTACCGGCCGCCGCGTTCTCCATGCAAGTGACCCACTGCCGTTCCGGCCTGAACAAAGAGATATCCTGCCCTGCTCGTCGGGGTGCTCCTTGTAGCGTGAAAATAATCAATGGCGTCTCTCTCTCTCTCTCTCTCTCTCTCCTTGAGACTCCGTCCCGCAAAAGTTCCGCGACGATAATAGCTTCTCTCGCGCGTCTCTCGCGCGCTCCGCGACTAATCGCCCAACGC